GCCTAGCTTAACAATTTTGTTAGAAGAAAATTCAAAAGCAATATATGTAGATAAACGTTTTGTTTTGACTTTTGGCCCCTGTCATGATTGGTGCTTCGCAGCACACGGCCTCATATCTTATTCTCGGTGTTCCCAATTCTCAGTCGCTTGTCTCCAAATTGTTAAGTGCATGGAGTTGGTCCTTGTTTCGTGTGTTTCTATCAGCCCCTCCTCTACCTGGCTGCCTCCCACCCACTGGCATGTCACTGGTGTTCAAAAGTAGTTGTTTGCATGGCAGATTTAAAAATGTCAATATGAAAGTCAAAGTGATTGAGGTTTTAGGAAGGAAAAATCATTCTTCATCATGACGAGTCCAAAAGACTACTTTAACGGTACCATTAATATATTCAATGATTTAAAGGATACAGAGGCAAAAGGCAAAATACCTTTCGTTAAGCTCAGAGAGAATGACTAATTTTCGTAAGAGAGATGTTTGTGGAAATTAAATGTACTGACTCTAGATAAGAGATATCTGGGTATGATAAGGAATGTAGTTAATCTTATAGCAGTTAATAAACATAATTTGCTTCTGTTATTACAAACCTTGACAACTTGCGCAAGATGGGAGCACCCCAGTCTGGCTTGGCAGAATATCTCTTTGACAAGCACACCCTGGGAGACAGTGATAATGAAAGCTAAGCCTTAGGCTAATTTCCCCATAGCCACAGGATGACTTCCCTGGTCACCAAGGCAGTGCATGCATATTGGGGTTTCCTTTACCTTTTCTATAAGTTGTGCCAAAACACCCACTTAAGTTCTTTGTACCGTTCCTTCAAATAAAGAAATTTGGTACCAAAAAAAAAAATCATAACTTTTTTATAAATGAACCTTTATTTCTTAGTTTTGTGAATTTTTTCATTATAAATATATATATACAATTTCAAAAGAGAATAAGAAATGTTTATAATAAATTATTTTAAATCACTGCTGGGAATGGTGGCTCACACCTGTAATCCCAGCACTTTGGGAGGCCAAAGTGGGTGGATCACCTGAGGTCAGGAATTCAAGGCCAGCGTGGCCAACATAGTGAAACCCCATCTCTACTAAAAATACAAAAGCTTAGCAAAGTGTGGTGGCAGGCACTTGTAATCCCAGCTATTCGGGAGGCTGAGGCAGGAGAATCGCTTGAACCTGAGAGATGGAGGTTGCAGTGAGCCACGATCACACCATTGCACTCCAGCCTGGGTAACAAGAGGGAAACTCCATCTCATAAATATATGTATACTTATTTAAATCACAATATGTTATTATCTTTACAATTATTTAGTTTGTGTTTGTGTTTCCCTACTTAGGAAGTTAATTACTTTATATTAATATTAACATTCATTTTCACCTCGATCTACTATCAGTCCAGTGTTTGCACCTGTCAATGAAGTGACCACATAAAGACCAGCGTGTGTATCCAGAGAAAGTGGAATGCTGGCAGCTGGCAAAACAAAATGGCAGTTTAATGTGGACAGAGCCAGGATTCAATAGACCACGTTGCAGCAAAGTTGAAAGTTCAACTCGAACTGGAGAGCAAACACTCTAGTCTACGTGTGATGCTTTTTTGTCCCTTTTTTTTTTAATGAAAAGAAATGTTATCTTCATCATCATAATAGTGTTGTCTTTTGGAAAGGTTGAATAATTATTTGCTTTACAGAAGATAGACGTTAGCACAGACTTATCTCTAGGTATTACATACTTGATCATTATATGAGAGCTGGGAAAAGGGAACCTTAAAAATTGAAACTAATTTTTACTGTACATAAATTTAAACACAGAGGCTTTTAAAATAAACATTCAATTACTGAAGTGACTTTGGATATAGTGAAATAAATATATTAATATCTTTCTACATGAAAACTTATTTTGTTCTACTGATTTGTTTTCCTAATTTTCTGGGGATTAATTTTTTTAATTTGGGTTAATTTTTTTTTTTTTTTTGCAAAATGACAAATGCTCTCCCCAACCCTGGGCCTGGGGATATTACCCCGGTGATTTCCTTAGACTACTGTTAATGAAATGGCAGTGAACTCACTCTGTACCCCTTGTATCCTGGACAAAGAGGTGGTTCAAGTAGATTGTGCCCTTTGAGGACAAATAGGTGGAGGGATTCCAAAAAGTGTCCTTTTCATGTCACTTTGGTGACCCCAACTTTGTTGATGCCAAGGAAGACTAATGGTGACTAAGGCTTTTTGTTGCTTTTGTTAAATTGGTGGTATTGTTTCTTTGGCTTTCTTTTTGGCTAGTTTACTGTCACGTGGGTCTTGATAAGGGAGACTCACTGTGCTTGTAATGGTGGGTGATAGTTTCTTCTACGAAGTGTGAGGTACTGTGTAGACAACTAAGGGAAGAGTCATTGGGTAATTATAGGACCATCAAAGGACTCTCCAGGCTTTTGGGTCCTGATGGAGTAGGAGTTAGAGTTTAGAGACCTAATGTAAGAAAAATGGACTAAGGCAGTCCTGAGGGTTCTTCTATCAAGTAAATCAGAATGGCAGGTCAATCAATCCCATTACTGGGTATATACCCGAAAGAATATAAATAATTCTATTATAAAGATGCATGCACACAAATGTTCATTGCAGCACTATTCACAATAGCAAAGACATGAAATCAACCCAAATACCAATTAATGATAGACTGGATAAAGAAAATGTGGTACATATACACCATGGAATACTATGCAGCCATGGAATACTATGCAGCCATAGAAAGGAATGAGATCATGTCCTTTGCAGGGACATGGATGGAACTGGAAGCTGCCATCCTTGGCTAACTAATGCAGGAAGAGAAAACCAAACACCACATGTTCTCACTTTTAAGTGGGAGCTGAATGATGAGAATGCATGGACCATGGGAGGGAACAACACACAACTAGGGCCTTTGTGGGGAGGCGTGGGAGGAGGCAGAGCATCAGAAAGAATAGCTAATGGATGCTGAGCTTAATACCAAGGTTATGGATTGATCTGTGCAGCAAACGGCCATGGCACACGTTTACCTACATATCAAACTTGCACATCCTGCACATGTACCCTAGAACTTAAAATAAAAGTTGAAGAAAAAAACAAAAGAATGGCAGGTCAACCATGTCTTGGGTGTGGGCTTCCATCCCTGACCACCTGCTTTTCTCTGTTAGTTCCATGAATGGCCTTATCCAGATATTTAGCTTCAACCTATGTACTGCTGAATCCCAAATTATATCTCTAGGATCAACCCATCTCTCAAATTCCAGGTCCTGTCTCAGTTGCTGTATTAGTCTGTTTTCACACTGCTGATAGACATTTCCAAGACTGGGAAGAAGAGGTTTAATGGACACATGGCTGGGGAGGCCTCACAATCATGGCAGAAGGCAAGGAGGAAGAAGTCACATCTTACATGGTGGCAGCAGGCAAAAGAGAGCTTGTGCAGATGAACTCTGGTTTTTAAAATCATCAGATCTTGTGAGACCCATTCACTGTCATGAGAACAGCACAGGAAAGACACAGCCCCATGATTCAATCATCTCTCTCCAGCTCCCTCCCACAACACATGGGAATTATGGGAGCTGCAAGATGAGATTTGGGCGGGGACACAGAGCCAAACCATATCAGCTGCCTATTATGTGTCTTCATTCGAGCAGGCCGTGGGTACCTAAGACTCAAAGTATTTTGGTAAATCTGAATTTATCAAAACAAACAAAACAAAAAAAGATTAGCACACAAAATTGTTCCTATTCTTATCATCTGTTTTTGGTGAATAGGGTCATTCTCCATCTAGTTGCCCAAAGAAGAAATTCCAGGCAGCTCTGTCCTCATTCAAAAAGCCCCCTAAATTTTACTTCTTTTGTAATTTCTCTCAAATCTGCCTTCTCTAATTTTATTTTCTATTGTGTCTCCAGTGCTTAAACAATTTGTGGCATGTACTAAGCATTTAGCAAATATTTACAGCGTGAAAGAACAAAGAGAACAGAAAAGCACTTGGCCCTGCATGAAACAGTTAATTCAAGGAACAGACAAAAATTTAAAGTATGTTATTTCAATAAAAAGTATTTTGGGAGACATTCAAGAGAAACTTTTTTCCATTAAGCAAGGACAGGCAGCTATGAAAAAGGAACTGTCTAAGAAAAGAACAATTTACTGAAAGGAACAAATAAAACTTTGAAAAAATGCAATAGGCAGGCTGAATAATAAAACTGACACAGCTTAAGACTTAATTAATAATCTGGAAGATGAAGTGCAGAAAATTTCCTGGAACGTAGTGCAAAATGGCAGACAGAAGTAACAAAAAAAGTTAAAATATGGAGGATAGATTCTAGAGATCTAATACCTTTCTAATAGGATTTTTTAATATGTATATTTTATTACGTTTTAGGTTTGGGGTACATATGAAGAACATGTAGGATTGTTGCATAGGTACATACATGGCAATGTGGTTTGCTGCCTCCATCCCCATCACCTATATCTGGCATTTCTCCCCATGTTATCCATCCCCAACTCCCTACCCTCCACTGTCCCTTCCTAGTCCTCCCCCACAGACCTCAGGGTGTGATGCTCCCCTCCTTGTGTCCATGTGTTCTCTATTGTTCAACACCCGCCTATGAGTGAGAACATGCGATGTTTCATTTTCTGTTCTTGTGTCAGTTTGCTAAGAATGATGGTTTTCATGTTCATCCATGCCCCTTACACAAGGACTTCATGTCTAATAGGATTTTTTTGAAAGCAAAATAGGTACAATGGAAGTGAGACTATAATAAAATGTGTTTTTTTAAAAATGGTAGTATTAATAGGATAATTGTTTTCAATGGGCTGACCCTGTCCAGTTGCAAATGCTATGTATAAACACTGAATTATCTAAATTATATAAGACAGTGAAGACTGCCAGAGGACTATGTTTGGCATATTGTAAGTCTCAGTTCCCTTTCTCAAAGCTGCAGGAAAGCCACATTGTTACGCATTAATTTGAAAATATATATTTACCTTGTTTTATTTTCTTGCCAGTTAAGCTATGCAGCACCTGTTGGGACACATGCAGAAGAAAAGAAGGTGAAGATATTAGGATCTAAGGTACAATAATGACTAATATGGCCATTATTACTAACCTAGTTCTTGTTTATATTGATACTGGCTATGCTTAGAAAGTAGCATTGACTTTGGAAGCTACACTGAGAAGTAGCCTTATTAAGAGAAAAAGGACCTGATTGCCTCTTTAATATGATTCTGTAGCACATCTCTGCTACATCCAGGGAAGTCTTCCTCATTCATGATATGCCTACAGTTCAACTCTTAGAGATTCATTCCTTTTGTTGAAACTTTTTCCTCATGCAAAATATACATATTATTGATAAATGGCATAAAGCTCTAATGTGATTGAGTTGGTAAGATCCTTTCTTGAGAACTGTTTTGATAGAAGAAGGACATGATAACTGGAAGAAGCTGCTGCCTATGACAAAGAGATGGAGAGGCCACAGTAAGTGAAGGAAAATGCAATTTGCAGTTTATAAAATGAGGCAGCTTGTGGGGCTGATGAAGATAGGTTTTGATTGCTTTGTAACATGGTTTAGAGCTAATTGCTTTTATGTTCACCATTTATAGGAAATAGAGGCATGGGATCTTAAACCATTCCTATATATGGTAATTTACAAGTAAATAAAACTCATTGTTCCCTAGAAAAAAAAAATTTTTTTTTTTTTGAGACAGGGTCTCATTCTGTCATCCAGGCTGGAGAGCAGTGATGTGGTCACAGCTCACTACAGCTTTGACCTCCTGGGTTCACACAATTTTCCCTCCTCAGCCTCCCAAGTAGCTGGGACTACAGGCACACGCCACAATGCCCTGCTAATTTTTAATTTATCGTAGAGACAGTGTCTCACTGTATTGCTCAGACTGGTCTCAAACTCCTGGGCTCCAGCCACCCTCTTACCTTGGCTTTCCAAAGTGTTAAGATTACAGGTGTAAGCCACCGTGCCTAGGCTTAAATTATTTTTGATAGTAGTTAGAATATGCATACTATTTATAGAAATTGTCTTTTCAGATTTATGGAGAAAAAAAGATACATTGTGTAATTAATTTGTGATATATTTTCTATTGAAAGGTTGAAGACAAACATGCTTTGGAGTCTCAGATAGAAGCATTAAAGGCTAATTTAGAGGTTGAGAAACAGAAGGTGGAAAGGTACTGGTAATAACAAGACATAGTGTTCATTTGTAACTAATATAATATTTAACCATCTGTAAATTTATTATAGGATTAGGAAGGAAGCCGATCGACTAAACAAAAACTGGGAAAAGAGATTCTCTATTCTCAGGAACAGGTATGGTGAGATATATACAAATTCTATTTCTCAAAATGTGACTAATCATCCTTTATGAAGTTGGCAACCTTGTCATTTTTTTACATATTAATGTTAAATCACCTCGTATACATCTATAAGAAATGCAAAATAATTGGTCTAAAATAGAAAAGCAATCAAAATCACTGAGAAGTAAAATGTTTTTATTTCTTCTCTTTGTTTCTGTTATAAAAGATCAGCAGGACAAACAGACTTTGTTAATACCTGGTTTCATCAGGCCTATCTAGCCATCTTCTTTCCTAGGGCTATTAAAACCTTTTCCTGCTCATTTGCACACAATGATATATAACTAGTTTGTATTGTCTTTATATATATACTTGATATATAGAGTTTGGTATATAAAGTTGCTTTATATATCAGATTCTCTACCAGACACAACAGCTCCAATTCCTCAACCTCTCAAATCTATTTATCACTCATATAATCATTTTGTTTCTCTCCCCCTTTGCCTTTTTCTTTTCCTTTTTTTTTTTTTTTCTTTCTTTTTCTTTGTTGAGATGGAGCCCTGCTCTGTCATGTAGGCTGGAGTGCACTAATGTGATCTTGGTTCACTGCAACCTCCAACTCCCGGGCTCAAGTGATTCTCTTTCCGCAGCCTCCCGAGTAGCTGGGATTACAGGTGACCACCACAACACCTGGCTAAATTTTTTCTATTTTTAGTAGAGCCGGAGTTCCTCCATGTTGGCCAGGCTGGTCTCAAACTCCTGACCTCAGGTGATCCGCCTGCCTCGGCCTCCTAAAATGCTGGGATTACAGGCGTGAGCCATCGTGCCTGGCTTCTCTTTACCTTTTTCAAAATGGAGAAAGTGAAATTGTAAAATTCTGAAAAGGACAAAAATGACATAAATTGAAAAAAATGCTTATTTTTTCCCTTACTCTAACATATTAACATTAAAAATCTATCTTCTGTTTAGTTGTGTTCTGCCATAATTTCCCCCAGATTCTCTTCCTTAACACATGAGAGAAGTGCTTTTGCAATATTCCTTCACAGTCAAGCATCACCCAGGCACATGGGGTTCAGTGTTGCTCTGATGGAGGCCAGTGGAGGTCAAACTTGAAGCTTATACATAGATCATGGGATGGCAATGCCCTACGTTTGCACTGTATTTTATAAGCACACACTAGGGATCTTGTGTGCATAAACTTCTATACCTGGCTGTGTGTCTTACATGGAAATAATTAATCCTAAGTGGGGAGGCACAAGAATCCACACCAAGACAGAAAAAATCACAGGATTGAGAGTAAAAAGGCATTGTGGTAAAATGTTCTCCTTTATTTTGTTTTGCGCTGAAATGATCCCCTACCCATGTTTTCTGTATGTGCTGATAAGCATTTTGTGCTGCGTAAAACATGCGCAGTAACACCCACCCTAACTGCGTCACATGGTTATTTAAGAACAGAGTGTAGATACATGTGAAACAAACCAAACTTAAATAGGCCCTTGCCTTCATTTCCCTGCCCATAGGTTTTGGATTCTCTCTAGAACTGAATAAAATGACTTTCCCTTACTTATTTCCATAGGGTTCACTTTCATCCTGAAGATTTACCTTGTCTCTGACCCAACAGGATTTACCCTATTCTTCAATGATGATTTACAATAATTTATCAGTTTTACTACTACTACTACTACTTCCTCTCCTTCTGCTTCTTCTTCCTCTCCTCCTCCTCCTCCTCTTCCTTTTCTCCTTCTTCTCCTCCTCCTTCTTCTTCCTCCTCCTCCTCCTCGTCCTCCTCCTCCTCCTCCTCCTCCTCCTCTTCTTCTTCTTCTTCTTCTTCTTTCTTCTCTTTCTTCTTTCTTCTTCTTTTCTTCTTCTTTTTTTCTTTCAGACAGAGTTTTTACTCTTGTTGCCCAGGCTGGAGTGCAGTGGCACAATCTCAGCTCACTGCAACCTCTACCTCCTGGGTTCAAGCGATTCTCCAGCCTCAGCCTCCCAAGTAGCTGGGATTATAGGTGCCCACCACCATGCCTGCCTAATTTGTTTGTATTTTTAGTAGAGATGGAGTTATACGTTTTACTTCTAATTCATTTGCTGTTACCCAAGATGTTGACAATCATATTAATCATTTTGGTCTCTGCAGTCTTTATGTTGATATCTAAATATTTAGGAAAGCAGAAGTATTTATTACTACACACTTTCTATGTTTTTCATTTAATCAACTAACTGGGGCATTGTAGATTATGTCTCTCTACCTAGGCTGCAGCTCCAGGTATTAATTCAATGTGGCATATACGGCACTGTAGAGAGTGCATTTGTACAGTCTGCATCATGGTGTGGTATGGAGATTAATTGTGAAGTCACAGACTTACATGGGCTAACATGGTCATTTCATTTCACTGTAACTGATCCTAGATTAGGAGTGTTCATTTGTGTTTAGTAGAGAAAAAAACCTCACCTTAGCTAGTCAAGGTCAGAGTCCAGTCCAATAACTTCTGTCAATTCATGATTTATATTGGGTCCCAGTCCAATTCAGGGCTTCATTTCCAAGCTTCTTTTCCATCTCTGCTGAATTCTTATTTCCAGGAAGATTGAATGTGAGCAGTGCTGACAAGGGTGGGGCTGGTCCTTCCTCTTGGTGTGCCAAGCCTGGTCATCATTGTCACACAAACAGTATGCAGGTGTGGCACATCAGTTTCAGAACATATCCTTACCTGGCAGATGCCATGGTGATGCCACTGTTTCCACTTCCACCCCAGGCGGCAGTCCACATGCATCCACCTGAGCCACCTCTGTTCTGCCTGATGGGCTGTGGGCCAGGCAGACTCGCTTTTGCACACTGTGCTTCCCAAGCACATAGAAATGTTACAGGTGGTACCCATGCCATTCTGGCTTGCATATCTGGAAGAGATCCACATACACATCCCTTCTCCTGCTCTTCCGTCCTCTCCCCCACATTCAGAGCACCAGATTGCCATCTCAGAGAGCCTGCTAACATCAGAAATCTAGATAGGGCATGCAAGGTGGAGGCCCACTCTGCTCATGTAGTCCCCTCACCTTGGAATCCGCTGTAAACAGAAACTCTACAGGGCTCCTTACTCAACAAAGTGAACACCTGTGTCCTCACCACACAGGTAAAGAAAGAAGGAATTCACAGTGGCTTCATGGTCCCTGTTGCCCATCCAGTGCCTGTCCCTTCTCCTTCTCCCAATTAGCAAATATTCGGAATTGAATGCTTATCATTCCCTTGGAGAAAGTTTTCAGTGACATTCAATTTGTCATAAAAATTGGGCTATTCCAATTTTCAATTTCTTCTAATCATTTTGATAATTTATGTTGTCTTATATATTTAGGAATTTTCTCATTTCATTGAATTGTCAAATTTATTGATATAAAGTTATTCATGATATCCTCATATTATATATATATGTGGCAGTCGTGTCACTTGATGACAGGGGTAGATTCTGAGAAATATGTAGTAGGTGATTTTGTCATTGTGTGAGCATCTTAGAGGGTGCTTACAAGCCTAGATGTCATAGTCTACCACACACCTAGGCTCTACAGTATAGCCAGTTGCTCCCAGGCTGCAAACCTGAACAGCATGGGACTATAACGGAATACTGCGAGCAATTGTAACACAATGGTAAGTATTTATGCATCTAAATATACCTAAACATAGAAAAGACACAGTGAAAATACTGTATAAAAGGTAAAGAATGGTCCACGTGTATAAGGCACTTACCATGAACGGAGCATGCAGGAGTGAAGTTGTTCTGGGTGAGCCAGTGGGTGAGTGGTGAGTAAATGTGAAGGCCTGGAAAATTACCATACACTACTGTAGATTTTGTAAGCACTGGACACCCCGGCTATATACGATTTACAAACAAAATTGTTTTTTAGTAACAAATTAACCTTAGCTTACTGTAACTTTTTTACTTTACAAACTTGCTAATTTTTAAAACTTTCTTGTAATAACACAGCTTTAAACACAAACATACAGTACAGCTATACAAGGTTATTTTTTCACGTGGAGGTGCACACCTGTGGTCCCAGCTACTTGGCAGGCTGAGAGGTGGGAGGATCACTTGAGCCCAGGAGGTCGAGGCTGCAGTGAGTTGTGATCACGCCTTGCACTCCAGCTGGGTGACAGAGTGAGACCCTATCTCAAATATACATATATAATTTTTTTCTTTATATTCTTATTCTATAAGCTTTTGTCTGTTTAATTTTTTTTGTTTGTTTTTTACTTTTTAAACTTTTTTGTTAAAAACTAAGATACAAACACACACATTAGCCTAGGCCTACACAGGGTCAAGACTGTCAAGATGTTACTAGTCAGTGAGAACTTTTCAGCTCCATTATAATCTTAGGGGACCGCCATTGTATATGCAGTCCATCTTTGACTAACCATCATTATGCAGGGCATGACAGTATCTGTAAGATCTGGTGATGTCCCTTTTTCATTTCTGATATTTGTGTTTCATTCCTGAGAATTTGTGTTTTTCTCCTTTTTTCTTAATCTCTTGGGAGTTACTAATTTTATGTTATTTATTTCAAAGAAACTCTCTTTGCTGAACTTTTCTCATATGTCTTTTCATTGACTTTTTTACATATTAATTTAAAAAGCTTTTTTCTTTCTAACTTTTATTCTAGGTCAGGGGTTATGTGTGCAGGTTTGTTACATGGCTAACTTGCATGTCATGGGGGTTTAGTGTACATAATTTTGTCACCCAGATAATCAGCATAGTTTTTCAAGACTCACACTCCACCAAACCTTCACCCTCAAGTAGGCCCTGGCGTGTGTTATTCCCATCTCTGTGTCTATGTGTACTCAGTGTTTTGCTCCCACTTATAAGTAAGAACATGTGGTATTTGGTTTTCTGTTCCCATGTTATTTTGCTTAGAATAATGGCCTCCAACTCCATCCACGTTGTTACAAAGAAAAACGATTTCATTCATTTTATTACTGTGTAGTATTCCATGGCGTATATGTACCACATTTTTTTTTTATCCAGTTCACCATTAATGGGCATCTAGGTTGATTTCATGTCTTTGCTATTGAGAATAATGCTGCAATGAACATACATGTGCATGTGTCCATGTGGCAGAACAATTTATACTCCTTTGGGTATATACCCAGCAGTGGGGTTGCTGGGTCAAATAGTAGTTATATTTAAAGTTCTTTAGGAAATCTCAGACTGATTTCCACAGTGGCTGATTTGCATTCCCATCAGCGGTTTCTCTACATCCTCACCAGCACTTGTTATCTTTTGTCTTTTTGATAATAGCCATTCTAACAGGAGTGAGGTGGTGTCTTATTGTGGTTTTGATTTGCAGTTGCCTGATGATGAGTGATAATGAGCAATTTTTCATATGCTTGGCCATTCGTATGTCTTCTTTGGAGAAATGTCTATTCAGTTCCTTTGTCCACTTTAAAATCGGGTTGTTTTCTTGCTATTAAGCTGAGTTTCTTGTATATTTTGAGTATTAACCCTTTATCAGATGTATGGCTTGCAAATATTTTCTTCCATTCCTTAAGTTGTCTTTTCATTTTGTTGTTTTCTTTGCTGTGAGGAAGCTCTATGGTTTGAAATAATCTATTTATTCATTTTTGTTTTTGTTGCTTATGCATCTGGTATCATATTCAAAAAATCATTGCCAAAGGCCAACGTGAAAAAGCTTTTTCTCCTATGTTTTTTTCTACGAGTTTTATGATTTCAGGTCTTATGTTTAGGCCTTTCATTCATTTTGAATTAATTTTTGTGCGTTGTCTAATATAGGAGTTTAATTTCATTCTTTTGCATGTAAATATCCTGTTTCTTCGGCAGCATTTATTGAAGAGACTAACCTTTCCCCAATTGTATATTCTTGTCACTCTTGTCAAAAATTAGTTGGCCATATATGCATGAGTACTTTAAATTTTTTCACTTGGACTTTGGTTGTCATTGGTTTTCTTATGATGTCCCTAGGTGTAGTTCCTTTTATTTATCTGGTCTAGCTCTTGCATCTATGGGTCAATGTCATTTCTGAATTTTGGAAAAGTCTTAGCTATTATCTTTCCATGTATTATTTCTGCTTCCTGCTTGCCTACTCTGATCCTCCTGCTTCCTTATTAAAAAAAAACAACAACCCTGTGATTACATTGGACCCACCAAATAATCTAGAATAATTACTGTATCTCAAAATCTGTAACTTACCACATCTGCAAAGTTCCTTTTACTATGTTAGGTAGCATACTCCGAATTTCCAGGACTTAGGAAGTAGATATTTTCATGGGGGACAATGTTCATTCTACTACAGTCAACCTTCTGGCCCCCAATCAATCATGCCTATCCTGCCTGCAAAATGCATTTACCACATCCCAATATTGCCTGAAGTCTCAACCCATTACAGCATCAACTCCATTCTAAAATCTCACCTAAGAGTTATCAGTCTCAAAATTCCCAGTTTGCATTATCTAAATTAGGCTCTGGTTATAATTCATCCTGGGACAAAATTCGTCTCCATATGTAGACTTGTGAAGCTATATATTATTTGCTCTCAGATACAATAATGGGAAAGGCATTTGTATTGCCATGAATGTCAATAATAGCTATAAACATTCTTGTTTAAAAGGGGAGAAAGTAAAAGGGGAAAAGAGTCACTTGTCTAAACAATGTTGACATTTCAGCATAACTCATTAGGTTTCAAGGCCTGGGCTAATTCTCTGTGACTCAAGGTTCCGCATTCTGGGCCCAAAGCACTACTACTGAGTCATACTTCCCCTTTCATGAAAGGTAACACACGTTTGACACTGAGTAGTTTTATCAGCCTGTTTCTTGCCTGTAGAATTTTGGAAATTCAATAACCTTCTTTCATTTATTTCCTTTTGCTGTCCTTTTTAGTTCAATCTGGCAGTGTTGTTGCTGATATAACATTCTCAAAACCTTGTGGGTCTCCCATGTTTCTCATGGAAAATCACTTTCATTAGACAGGAGGCTCCTTTTCAGTTCTTTCCTAAATAATTCCATCTCTATTTTCGACTCCTACTGAAATGGCTGAGGGAGTGTCACACATCTAATCTCTTCAAAGAGCTTTTGTGTGAGTAAATAGTGTGGTTTTTGTTCCTTCCTAGACTCTACCTAAAGGTTGTCCAGCCATTCTCTTGCTTTCTCTACAGAGTACATCTTCTTGACAGCAAATCTCCTAATCTTAGCATCATTTGCACTCAAAGATAGGCTAAGAATTTCCCAAATAGCTAATATATATGTGGCGTTTCAACACACGGTAGTTCTTGTCTTCGATACGTAATTTCTCCAATCTTATTATCTTTGATATGTGATTTCTCCAATCATAAGTCAACAGGAGCTCTTTCAAGTTGATTACTGTGTTCTTCTGACATAACCTTTGATGACTTTGTTGAATTCTGGTAGAATAAAATGTCCCAGGTTCATTCTGTGCATTTATTGCCTTAGATTTAGAAACAGTCATTTCTCAAAGATGCTCTGAATTATTTAATGAGAAATGCTTTTTGAAATCACAGTCTGGGGACTAAGGTGATCATTGCCATTATTTCTGTGCTTTTCCGAGCTGGAAAACATGTTTTTTGTTTTGTTTTTGTTTTTTGGGGAGACAGGGTCTTACTCTGTCATCCAGGCTGGAGTGTAGTGGTGTGATCATGGCTTACTGCAGCCTTGACCTCCCAGGCTCAGGTGAACCTCCTACCTCAGCCTCCTAAGTTGCTGGGACTACAGGCATATACCACCATGCCCTGTTATTTTTTTTGTTTGTTTGCACAGATGAGGTTTCACCATGTTGCCAAGGCAACATGTAGTTTTAAAAATGGAAGAGATAGTATGTTCATACTAATATTTTCAAATTTTTATTTGATAATATTTTAAATTTTTAATGTAGTTTGCTATGTTAACATAATGCTTACATGCTTTATCCTATGATTTCCATACATTTAACTTTCATCGATTTTTTTAAATTTTAGCTTTCATGTCCTTAAGGATGAGATGTTTACAAGACACACACTGTTTCGTCAGTTTGCAGTGCTTGCTGACACATCCTTCAATTATATTGTAAGTGCATGTAATGTTTAGATGCTATTTATCTTTTTGAATATATCTGTCTGTTTCTTTCTGTTCTCATTTAAGGTTTATGGAGCCCCTGTCATTAAAGGCTCTAAAGATAGTGCATGGCTGTCACTGCCAGATGCTGAGGGTGTAAGGCAAAGTGCCTGAACCCAAAGAGCTCAGTCCAGTGTGAGAGGTAAATGTATAAACAAATTGCTACAGCACAATATGGTTGAGCTATACTATGGACAATTTCGGAGAAACGCAAATCAAAACCACGTTGAGATACCACCTCACACCACTTAGAATGGCGATCATTAAAAAAATCTGGAGACAACGGATGCTGGAGAGGATGTGGAGAAATAGGAACACTTTTACACTGTTGGTGGGAGTGTAAATTAGTTCAACCATTGTGGAAGACAGTGTGGCAATTCCTCAAGGATAGAAATACCATTTGACCCAGCAATCCCATTAATGGGTATATACCCAAAGGATTATAAATCATTCTGTTGAAAAGACACATGCACACATATGTTTATTGCAGCACTGTTTACAATAGCAAAGACTTGGAACCAACCCAAATGCCCATCAATGATAGACTGGAAAAAGAAAATGTGTGGCACATATACACCATGGAATACTATGCAGCCATAAAAAATGATGAATTCATGTCCTTTGCAGGGGCATGGTTGAAGCTGGAAACCATCATTCTCAGCAAAATGACAAAAGAACAGAAAACCAAACACCATATGTTCTCACTCATAAGTGGATGTTGAACAATGAGAATACATGGACACAGAGAGGGGAACATCACACACTGGGGTCTGTTGGGGGTGGAGGGATTAGGGTAGGTATAGCAGGGGGTGGGGGGATTAGGGAGGGATAACATTAGGAGAAATACCTAATGTAGGTGATGGGGGGATGGATGCAGCAAACCACCATGGCATGTGTATACCTATACAACGAAACTGCATGACCTGCATGTGCACCCCAGAACTTAAAGCATAATGATAATGAAGTCTGGTTCTACTATCTTTTATCTGTGCTAGCAACTACTCAAGATGTACAGGTATTGATCGACTTATGACCTAAGCAACTTACGACCATTCGACTTTATGACCATAATCGCTAGCCACGACTGCTCCGCGTCTGGCAGCGTAACGTTGCCCAGCTGGGCGTACGACAGTGCAGACCAGCTTCCGGCAGCACTACTACCTCCGCGTGCATACAGCCTACCCAACTTACGACCAAATCATGTTACGACCGGTCTGTCGGAACCAGTCGTGGCCGTAAGTCGAGCACTAGCTGTATATACAGATTTTTGACAATGAGCTGCTCACTTTCCTTGGAGCTTTATTTATAAAAGTTCTCTGAGGACTCGGCTAAACAGGAATTTTTCCATAAAAGGTTTAAATGTGCTTCTTTCAGTTGCCATGAGCACCATTATTCTGGACTTAATTAAATTGATTTTTTTAGCATCTGGCTTTTCAGACCACCTTGTGAATTCAGCCGGCATATGGCATGGGCTAGTAATGGTTAGGAATTCACAGGAGGTTTTTAAAAAAATGTTATTCAACAACTAGTGGTCAAACTTAGAAACAGGCATTTTCCTCAAACTGCTTGGGGAAGCCTCACTTGAGGTAGTATTTGACCTTTACTGTGGTTATAGCTTTTCAGTCCCAGACTTACAGTGGGGTGGAAGTGTCTTGTTAAATTCCACACCTTAGGTGGGCCCTGAGTTTTGTCCTCTGCTCCCACACCATAGGAACGTTTGACAACTCATGCATACATTCCAGAAGTTTGGCAGATGCCCTCAAAGTGAATGAGAGCTCCAGAGTGGAAGTCCTGGGTTTCTATCTTCTCTTAGTCTTGAACCTGAGTATTCCTGCTTGCTTACTTGAGTTGTTTGTTTTCGTTTTTGAGACAAGGTCTTGCTCTTTCACCCAGGCTAGAATGCAGTGGCATACTCAATGGTCACTGCAGCCTCAACTTCCTGGGCTCAAGTCATTCTTCCACCTCAGCCCCTGCAGCCCCCCACGTAGCTGAGACTATAGGCATGTGCTATTACACCTGGCTAATTTTTGTAGTTTTTGTAGAGACGGGGTTTTGCCATGTTGCCCAGGCTGGTCTCAAACTCCTGGGCTGAAGCGACCCTTCCACCTTGACCTCCCAAAATGCTGGGATTAGAGGTGTGAGCCACTGTGCCTGGCCCCTGCCTTTTCATCAGCTTACAGCAACATTGAAGGATATAAGAAATGAAGGCAGGGCACGGTGGCTCACGCCCGTAATCCCAGCACTTTGGGAGGTCAAAGGGGACAGATCACAAGGTCAGGAGTTCAAGACCAGCCTGGCCAATATAGTGAAACTCTGTCTCTACTAAAAATACAAAAAATTAGCTGGACATGGTGGCAGGCATCTGTAATTCCAGCTACTCAGGAGGCTGAGGCAGGAGAATCGCTTGAACCTGGGAGGCGGAGGTTGCAGTGAGCCGAGACTGCGCCATTGCACTCCAGCCCGGGCTGGAGTGTGAGGCTTCCTCTCAAAAAAAAAAAAAAAAAAGGAAAGAAAGAAAAGAAAAGAAAGAAATGAAAGTCTTATTTGGATTTAAGTTCCATGTCTGTGTTTTATTCCCAAGTAATCTTTCCATATCACATCCAAAGTCCTTGGCATTTCATCTCAGCCTGTTCATTTCCAGAGTCTTCTGTCTACATTTCCATGAATTCATATATTCATATACTCCATTGTGCCAGCCAAAAGGCTTAAGGAGATTTCCATGTAGATCTCATAATAGATCATTTTTAGAAGTATGTGCTTCCTTTAATTTCAGGTAACTGTTTCCCTTAACTGATTTCAGGAAACTGTCTAACTTGGGAATCAGGACACCATTGCTGTAGCATCTAGTAGCTAGGAGGTGGTAGGGACAATCTTGTGGCTTCCAACCAGTTGCAAGTTTCAATTTTAGGGGCAATCAAAAGGAAATAGAGTCAGGAGAGATACTAAGGAAGAGTTTTCTTAAATTTTCTTTCAAAGTGGCCTGAAGAAGGAGTCTCCATCCTGTTGGAATAAAGAAAATGATTTTCCCAGCCATATTTGAGCAAATAAGTGACAAGCATAGTTTTCATATCTTGGTCAACTAAAGGCTGGAGAACATTAAAATCCATTCGATTTGGTTAACATTTCCTCCTGATATCACAGTACATATCTTTTGTGTCTTTCAGAAACTAAAACCCTTATTTGTGCAGTCTAAAACAACCTTGACAGGTACAGCCTCTTCAAGTCATGGAATATCTTCAGTAAGTAGCCTATTTTTCTCTATTAAATATTTACTGAGTTGATATTATTTAACTTAAGTAATGGAATGTTTGGTTCACTTACAGACAGACAGTAAGCATTCAGATGTAGCCAGTGATCAGGCATTCCCTCAACTTTCACCGAAAGGTAAGAATCTTCATTGTTGGAAAAGAGGTTCACACCAGAATGGCTACTTAGTCTAGATTAATTTTGCTTTTCTTTTTTACCCTGAGGTATTTGGTATTCTGGGTGAATGCATGACTTTTTCAGCCAATTTATAAAATGATTGCACAGATAAACTGAATAAAAGAATACTAATATATACTTCTGACTACTGATCACTGCTAATTGAAAATCAATCTAGGCCAGGTACAATAGCTCATACCTATAATCTTAGCACTTGGGGAGGCTGAGGGAGGATCACTTGAAAACAGGAGTTTGAGATCAGCCTAGGCAACATAGAAGACTCTACCTCTCCAAAAACAAAATTAGCCAGGCATGGTGGCATGCAACTGTAGCCTCAGCTACTCAGGAGGCTGAGGGTTTGCTTGAGCCGATGAGGTCAAGGCTGCAATGAGCCAAGATCATGCTGCTGTACTCCATCCTGGGCGACAGAGTGAAACTGTGTTTAAATTCAAAAAAAAAAAAAAAAAAAGTTATACTTCAAAACCAGAAACTGCCTTCATTAGAATCTCATTTCTTTTTTTTCTTTTTTTTTTCAAGACAGAGTCTCGATCTGTCGCCAGGCACCAGGCTGGAGTGCAGTGGTGCGATCTCGGCTCACTACAGCCTCTGCCGCCTAGGTTCAAGCAATTCTCCTGCCTCAGCCTCCTGGGTAGCTGGGACTACAGGTGCACACCATCATGCGTAGCTAACTTTTTTTTGTATTTTTAGTAGAGATGGGGTTTCACCACGTTGGCCAGGATGGTCTCGATCTCTTGACCTCATGATCCACCTGGCTCAGCCTCCCAAAGTGCTGGGATTACAGGCTTGAGCCACTGCGCCTGGCCTCATTTCCTTTTTTAAATTAAACTTCCAACAAACCTGAAGCTCCTGTTAAAATCTTATTTTTTTCCAACTTAATAATTAAAAGAAAAGTAGGCTGGGCCTACTTACACCTCACACCTGCAGTCCCAGCGCTTGGGATACTTGAGTCCAGGAGCTCTAGGCCAGCCTGGGCAACCTGGCTGTTTCAGCCTCCTGAGTAGCTGCGACCATAGGTGCCTACCACCCCGTCCAGCTGATTTTCGTTTGGTTGGTTGATTGGTTGGTATTTTTTAAAGATGGAGTTTTGCCATGTTGCCCGGGCTGAAATTATTTCTAAAGCATCATAATATATTCACATTTTATTGTAAACATGTGGATTAATGAATTTAGTTGCCTTGAAATTTATTTTAACTTTAGATTCCAGGGGTACATGTGCAGATTTGCTGTGTAGCTATATCGCAGAATGCTGAGGTTTGGGCTTTGAGGGAACTCATCACCAAATTAGTGAAAATAGTATGGCATAGGCGGTTTTTCAACCCTCGCCTTCCTCCTGCCCTCCTTTTGCAGACCTGTATCTACTGAGGCCATCTTTATGTCCCTGCGTACCCAATGTTTAGCTCTTATAAGTAAGAGCACGTGATATTTGGTTTTCTGCTTCTGTATTCATTCACTTAAGGCCTGCAATTTTAATTAGGAAGCTTAATTAACCATGGAATTCTATTCCCTAAAAATTCAGCTGAGGATTTTTCATTGAAAATTGACTTTCCCTAGCCAAATAAACCACTTTGCAAAGGTCCATTTGAAGTAACACAAATGTTGATGGCCACATGACACATAAGGCAGCCCTGCTGAAGCAAACACTGTCACTCCCTTTTCCAATTCCTGAAAATGCAAAATGTAGAGTTGTTGCCACTCTGTCTACTGAACATCCTCTTAAAATTTATTAGCTCTCTTTTTTGCCTTACTAATAAAATTGAATATAAATGTGCCTTATGATCTATAATTTTACGGTGTGCTGTAAGGCTCATCATTCTGACTATTAATCAGCCCTGCAGAGGAGGTGTAAGATAAAATGCTCACAGCAGATGCCTGTGGTCACACCCTGAAGTTTCCTCCTATTCAATCTCAGATACAGCTCTGACATGCAATGTTCTTCCCTCTCAAGATAGTGTTGGGAAATAATCCAGTTAACAAAAGTTTCTTATTAATTGGTTCAAGTTAATCCAAAATTTACTAGAAATAATTTTTTTTTATTTTTACTGAATAAAAAACAACTACATGAATGTTAGCAAGAAAGCTGAATTACTAATTTTTTAACTTGGGGAGTAAATGAACCTTCTCTTTAAAAAGCACGATTTTTAGTGAGAATGCCTTGCAGATGGCTTTCATGTTGGACATTTAAAGGGCCAAAATAGCTTTGCACAGTGGCAGTATTGTAGCCAATAAGGTTTATCTGAGATGCAATTTTTGCTAATCAAAGGGTGAAATTAGCCAAGATTATTGTTAATCTTCACTAAAAAATATATTCCAAGCTCCCAAAGTACTTTACAAGGTTGAGTACCCTCTTCAGACCCCAGGAAAAAGTTTAATACATTATTAATGCTTTCAAGCACTAATTCACAAATACCTATTACAGAGGTATTACATATTGATATGATTTGGATTTATGTCCTCGCCCAAATCTCATGTTGAATTGGAGAAGGGGCCTGGTGGGAGGTGATTGGATTATGCGGGCTGTTTTTCCCCTTGCTGTTCTCATGATAGTGAGTGAGTTCTCACGAGACCTGATGGTTTAAAAGCGTGTGGCACTTTCCCTCTCTCTCTCTCTCTCTCTCCCTCTCTCCCTCTCTCCCTCCCTCCTGCTCCGCCACTGCCACCGTAAGGCATGTTTATTTCCCCTCCCGTCATGATTTTAAGCTTCCTGAAGCCTCCTAGCCATGCTTCCTGTTAGGTCTGTGAAACTGTGAGTCCGTTAAACCTCTTTTCTTCATAAATTAGCCAGTCTCAGGTAGTTCTTTATAGCAGTGTGAGAATGGACTAATACAGGTACATAAAACATAAGGGGTTACTATAACCTATTTGGTAAGAGATCCCAAGCCAAACTCTTTAAAGTTACTGTTGTAATACATTCCACTATTAAATACATAAATAGAATAATAACAGTAATATGTAAAATATCCTATGGAATAGTATCCTCTCTGTTACAGAATCCTCGGTGTTAGCATCAAAGATTGAGCGTCTTAGGCTATACTTTCACACCACAAAATACTTTGCAAAATTATGTATAGCAAGCATTCAGTGGACATAGATAATATTCTAAATGCTTTTCACATTTTTACTTTAATGTTCCCAAAAACCCTTAGAGGTAGGTACTCTTGCTTTCCCCTGTTTTAGAGATAAGACCATGGAATACAGAGAGATTTGTAAACTGCTAGGTTTATATTGCAAATAAGTGGAAGAGCTGGATTCAAATCCAGTGTGGGCTAAGGGTTCGTGCTAATCCCCACTCAGTTATTTTCACCTGCCCCAAGAATCATGCATGACAACATGGAAAATACCCTATTTTCAACAAAACACTGTGGGAAAATCCATGTTATAACAGAGAGTGCATGGGCTTTGAGGCTGACAGACTGCTCCCAAGCTCAAGTGACTAATTACTCACTGGTACCTTCATCTCAGTGCTCCCTGCTGTATAAAACAGACTTGGCAACCCCACCTCACAGGTTTGTTATGAGGATGAGGCGAGATCATATATGTGACATGCCTAGCTAATCCCTCTCTCTACCTCTCCTCCTGAGCTGTTCATAGTACAATCCCAAGCTAAAACCTTGCAAATCTACATTTTAATTCATCCGTAAGAACCATGATTCCCTGAACAGCAGGCTAATAAATTAGAACAGCTAATCTCTCCTTTACTGCTTTTTTTTTTTTTCTTGAGATGGGGTATTGATCTGTCATCCAGGGTGGAGTGCAGTGGTCCAGTCATAGCTCACTGCAGTCTCAAACTCCTGGGCCCAAGTGATCCTCCTGCCTCAGCCTCCTGAGTAGCTGGAACTACAGGCACACACCACCACATCAAGCTAATCGCTTTATTTTCTGTAAAGACAGGGTCTCACTATGTTGCACAAGCTGATACCGTGAGCCCAGGAGTATCCATGAGGATACACAGAGGCATGAGCCACTGTGCCCAGCCTCTTTTGCTTCTTTAATAGATGATTTTCTACCAGGCATAAGTAAAAAAGTAAAATCTAGCAATAATATCAAAACATACAGTATATATTTTAAAAGAGTGATGATACAAAATATAGTTTAAAACAATGTTATATAAGGTGATATATCCTTCCTAGGCAGATTGAAAACAACTTTTCGTTACATTGCAAGTTCTAAAAATTCTAAACAGGACAAGAAAGTGGAATGGTGCATGCACCATAGAAAGGTTAAGTGACAAATAAATCCTTGTTTCTCTAAGGGGATAGAAAAATGAGGTACAATACTATCTGCAACATTTCAAAGCAGTTTTTATGCAGTAGTAATTATCCAAAGAGAGCACAGGTAACATTATTAATTTGTTTGCTACTTACTTGTGATAAAATTTGGGATCTGAGCTGCCCATTGTGTACTGTGCACTGCCACAGATTTTATGTACTCAAGAAGACCTTTCTCACAGTCCAGTAATTAGGTGCTGTTGACATTGCAATCTTTGGAAATGTTCTTAATGAGCCCAAAAGACACGAATCTTATAGATAAAACCTCAAAGTAACAGTGACTCTTTAAGTGGCCTGTCAGGAAAGGAAAGCTCAAACATCAGTATCTGAACCACAGGAGAAACCCAAATTTAAACCCAGATTACATTGTGTTGTTAATTCTCTGAGGCTTCTAGGGAAGAAACATCCAGGGGGTGATTTGAAAGGGGTTTTAAAGAACAGAACAATCATAATATATTAGATATAATTTAAAATCTTTCTTTTTACCCTTTGAAGCTTTGGACCCAAAAAGTATTTTTAATAAGTATATTTTGGACTGATTTATAGAAATAAATATTCCTTGACAGTGAAGTTCAGTTGCCCCTGTTGCTTTAAACACAAAAAGAAATTTTGAAATCACCTAAGAAATTGGAAGTTAGATAAGAGAGAAAATGAAGTTTCAGGCATAAGTGTTAGCATTGTTTTGTGTATTGTTTCTAAACTGTCAGCTATAATTGATATAATTTGGTAAGGTTTCCAGATTCATTTTTCAAATGCATATTTTATAATATACCAATGTATATCCAAACAATATATTTCACATATAATTCATGGC